TCAGTAATTTGAGAAAATGGCGAACGCAGATAAAGTTGAGCTCGAAAATCCTCCAGCATCATTGAAGTCTCCGGTTTGGGAATATTTTGGTTTCGCAGTTACGTACAAAGATGACGGACAAAGACAGGTGGACCGAACCAAAGCTGTTTGTCGGCATTGTTCAACTAAAATTGGTTACGCGGCTGGCAATACATCAAACTTGCACACTCATTTGAAAAGGCATCACCCGAACGTGAATATCACCGGTACCAAAACAAAAAAGACTGAAGTGCAAACCCAACTCCCGCTAGCATTTAAGCCTCCACCACTCGCAAAAAGTTCAGACCGAGCCAAAGCTATTACAAACGCCAAATATCCTTATGTTGCCATGTTAGCAAAGCGCTACCTGGCTCTATCTGCTACCTCTGTCCCTAGCGAGAGGGTGTTCTCCACAGCAGGAGACATTGCTAGTGCCAGCAGATCTGCCCTTTCGGCAAGCAATGTGGACAAGTTCATTTTTCTTAAAAAAAACATGAAAATACAATGACAAAGCAAGTCATAATGTCAAACTGGCTGCTTAGCTACTAGTACAGTACAGTTCAAATACAGATTATTTCAGTTCATCGAAATGCTGCACCTTAATGTTTATTTTATTATATTTCGTATTTATTTGAGTGAATATTCACAGTTTAATAATAATTAAAAAACCAAAACTAATAGTTTATGTTTTGTGAGTGCTAGTACAGTAAAGTTCAAATACAGATTATTTCAGTTTATCGAAAAGCTGCACCTTAATGTTTATTTTATTGTATTTTGTATTTATTTGAGTGAATACATTATTCACATTAAAAAAAAAGAAAAAGAAAAGAAAAAATATTTTATGTTTTGTGATAATTTTTTCTGCTGTACCGGGAACGTACCGAACCGAACCGTGACCTAAAAACCGAGGTACATACTGAACCGAAATGTTTGTGAACCGTTACACCCCTATAAGACATTTATGTTATTGATTTCTGAAGCACTTTCTAAATAATAAAAAGAGAGTTCATATGTATTTACTGCATGTATTCATTGATGAAAAAGAAGCCATGTGCAGTAATATAGAAAATTGAGGTATGGTATGCAGTGTTTCCCCTACCATTGTCTTGGAGGGGCGCTGCGCCCCGCCAACGGAGCCCCGCGCCCCACCTGAAATTCAAGGTGTTTAAAAAAAAAAAAATTATAATCTTTTTTTTTTTAATATATACAAAGCACCAAATTGCAACTAATCTATATCTGTCACTTTTCACATTGAACATGTGCTCTTTGACTAAATAAACTATACGCTTTCATTTTAAGTTGTGAGTTGTAGTGTTTTTGACCCTAAGAAACACTGATGCATTAATTAATAACAATAATCGACAGCTCCTTTCTCTGCTCCAGAGGATTTAAAAAAAATATATATCCCAATGTATCCCCCACCCGCTCAGGCAGCACCCCCCCAAAGCAGTAAACCTAGGGGAAACACTGGTATGAATCGTGATGCATCGTGATATCGAATCGTTGACAGGATGATCGTAATCGAATCGTGAGACCAGTGAAGATGCACAGCCCTAGTAATAATCATCACTGATTGTCATTGACTGACTGCTTTGAGCTGAATTCAGGACATTTGTATACATTCATTTAAACAAATCACACAAATTGGTGTGCGGGGTAGTGACGACTACCTGATTTGCATTATCAACAAGCTACTGTACTTTACCCTGTCGGGTGACAGTGGGTCAAACTGGTTTTATAGTCAAACACTGCAGCCATTAAAGTGAATTGCACCAATAAAAAATCAGTTATCTGCAAATGGCTTACATAATGCTAAGGATAAAACTATGAGCATTAATCATAGATCTTCAGATAACGAAAGTTGTTATAGTTGGCAAAGTGTACATGATGTAACATGTGTGTGTGTGGCAGAGATAAAGAGAATGATAGCATTGTCCAACATAAAGATACAATATTGACAGCAACTGATACCTCCTTATTGTTGTAACTTCTCTAAAAGGTTGAGGGTGTGTCTGCCTGTGTGTGGGTGTGTAGGCAGAAAGTTTGGTTCTGCCACCCTCAGGCCTTATATCTGACACCAGGTGTGTCAGGTGTGTGTGTGGGTGTGAGGAAGCGAGAGGAAGAGACAAAGAGAGATAACGCACAGGAAGTGGAAACAAGAGAAGCCCCTATGAGGCTAAACTGCATATTTTGTACTTCTTAAAAATGTAACACATTTCTTTAATTAAAGGTATTAAATGCATCCTTGGCGATCAGATTCCTTGGATGATAATGTTTGTATAATGCAACGTCACAAAGTTTTAGAATATAAAATACACTGGTTTATATTCAAGTGTTAGAAAAATGTAATCTAATCCTATTCTACTAATTTCATTTCCTCCGGACCTACAAGATTTCTCGTGAGGGAAATCATTCAGAACTAATTATAAGACTTAATTGTAGTCTTTGCGATTCCCTTTTCTTCTTTATAGAGATTATACATGTTGTAATTATGGAAGGAAAAAATTTTTTTTTTATGTTCATTTTTTGTAACAACACTGTTAAGTTTCTGTTTGAACAGAGAAATCCTAACAGGTTAGTAGCTACATGACTTTTTCACTCCACCAAACATGTTCAAGCTTTGAATCAAGATATTGTGTAAGTGTATTTGTCAATGCTAGCTAAATAAAAAGCCAAAAAAGCATAGATGCTTTTTCACCAAAGCAGTCATCACTGTAACACACCCAATGTTTTTGCCCAGTGTTATATCATTTTGAGTGAAGTAATGTCGGGCTGCAGAGGAATCCTAGCCTAAAACGTGTCTACTACTCACTTAACAAAACAAAGGTGTTGGTACAGATCCTCTGATAGAAGAAACTCTAAAAAATTATAATTTTGAATAATGATGCATGATTAGTCACCTACATTAACCCAAAAATTTGCCACAAAATGACATCATGACTGTTTCAGTTACATATTGTACCTACTCACACTTTATAGGGTATATATGTTTGCACAAGTGCCAACACATTTGCTTGAATGAATGAGAAATTCAACTCTGTTTTGAATAAACGTATTGTGAATACATTTTAACTGAATCAATAAAAGAAAAGTAAGATTTGGATTGCAGGACTACTTATAACAGCAGAGTATTTTACAATTGGGTGTTGATACTTGAATTAAAGTATACAATTTGAGTACTTCTTTCACCACTGCATATCAGTAATTCAATCATTATACATATAGAAATCAAATATTTTTGAGTTTTATATTATTTTAACAGTGCAGTCAGTTAGCACAATGTCAACCATGTTATCATCTCACGTTTTCTCGCGACATTTTGTCCAAAAAGGAGATTTTTGAGAACTTTACCCGCTCACCAAAACAAATTCAGCAACCTGCTAGCTTGCTGGGTAAAAAAATAGACGACTCCGACAAGTGGCCAGGAATGAGCATCTTCTGTATTAGTTATAAATCGCAAAACCAACGCGTTAAAACGTATATTATTAATACAAGTGTAGTTATATGTGCTACATACGAATTTCCAGTGAGTGTGCCTACCTGTCAATCTCAGCGACTGTCACTTGCTGTCGCCTGCTGTTCCGGTGTGCTCTGCTACTCCAACAAACAGGCTACAAGTTTACAAGTTCTGACATTTGTAACGCTTTAAATTGCGCAAAAGAGACAAAATAATATTTGCAGCAATCCTTGTTGAATGGTATAACTGTCAGCCCTTCCCGAAAACAAACTGAGTTTGAGCGCTGGCGTCGGTTCTGTGCTGTCTTTGTACAACACAAAGATAGTTTGTTTATCTGAAGATGCATCACTCCAATACGTGAAAAACAACCCGACTCTTTTTTGTCCACTTGTTTTAGTTAGTTGTTATATTTTCTGATAGAAACAGCTGGGCATAGCTGAATGTGATGAATATATGTTTCCGTCTTTGTTTTCTATACTTTATTGCAAGAGTTAATACTTTACATTTCCACTTGCTTAAAAAGCATCCTTTTTGAAATCTTTCATTATAAGAACATATACATGTTATGACAATCTACATTAAAATAGGATTGCATTATTTTCCCTATTTATTAAACCTTTGATTTGTTGTGACTGTTTTTTTCTGTGTGTATGTTTCTTCTTATTTCATCTTAGACTGTGGTCTTCAATTTGTCCACCACTCTTTATGATGTTATTTGCAGCAGGAAACAGAAGCGAAGTGAGAGCTCTTTAATTCTCTCATATCTCTGGTAAACGTTCAGGCTGTCTGCCCACTCTTAAAGGAACATGCTACAATTTTGCAATTTTCTCCACTTAGTGAGTCCAAATTCTAAAAGCAAGTTTAGAGCTTTGGTTTGCAAAATGTATTCAGACATAATATTCAAATCATGTTTGCCATTTCACCAACAAGCAGTAAAAACTTTACAAAATTAGTTTATCAATGTTGTTCCAATTCAATTACTTTGTCTCCATCATCTGGTCAAACGTTGTCACAACTTTTGTTGTCATTGATGAAAAAGGTGTTTAAAGACGCATTGCCGTTTTCAACATTAACTTGTGTTTGATGTGTTTTATTACCCATTTACAAATTAGCGGGCTTTTACAGTATTCATGAATATTCCATGAAATCGACCATCAGAGTTTAGTTAAGAGATTCATTTTTACACATTGCATTAACTTCTTTTTTTTACAAACACAATGTATTCAAAAGTTTTCTCAAAATGTAAGTATAAAGATCCCTCAAATATTATGAATGTAATTGGATTTAGTAATGTTCTTCTGCATTGACTGTCTCTATCCAATACAAAGTTATTGGGGAATTATTCATGGAAGGTATATCAGAAGAAATGATTTGCAGCTCATGCCAAGAGACGTCTTTATGAGAATGTTTGCAATGCATTATCATTCAAATGAGGTGAACATTGTGTCCGGATGTTACTTTAAAAAGCAGGTTTAAAAACTAGATGACGTTACACCTAACAATCATAACAATACGAGTCAACAGCTGTGATGTGATTGTTTATTGAAGCAACGAAAATGTGAAGCTAAGCAAATTTGTATACAGTCGAAGAAAAAAAAAACACTATCCACAAATTCAGAATTTTGAAAGTCCAACAAAGACTGGTATTGCGACCTAATTTCTATGTCTGTATCCTCAGCAAGATGGCAATATTAGCAATGTAACTTCCACGACAGATCAGTTGAATCACTCAAACTCTGAATGGTTATTGGACCATTTTAAAAAGGCTGGTGATCTAAAACAAGTTGTTTTGATCTAAAACAAGTTGTTTTGATCTAAAACAAGTTATTTTGCCGAGGCATGGTGTGTTTCATACAAAAATAAGAATTCAAGTGACAACATTTAGCAGATTAGCTCAAGGAAGTTAACTACTGTAACATTCAGTGTGTAATTTTTAAATCCCATTTACATTGATTTTTTACAATTAACATTCGTCCCGTGACATCATCTAAAAAAAAGAAAGTGTTAACAGGTCTTTAACCCAGTAACTTTTGATTCTAGCATACAACAGAAACAAACTAAACGCAGAAATGTAAAAACTAAACAAGCCAAACAAGCATACTCTGCAAACTCTTTAAGTACTGTATGTAGAAATGCAGCTCTACTATGCAGTCATGGCACACAAAAAAGGCACAAGGAAATTTTAAACAATGAATTCACACAAAGAAGGTAGAATGTAACTTTCACACGGCTGAATCATCAAAAACAAACATGTTTTGTAAGAGTTGACCACCGCTCTGTAACCACTGGCCGCAAAAATGTTCGTTACAAAAAGAAAAGGCTTACATAGCATGAAACCGAAAGAAAAGGCAACATCAGATTAAAATGATACATAAATAAACCCATAACAATCTAAGCTTAGCTTTTTTATGTTACAAATGTTTTTATAAAGAGCCTACTGCAGAGGATTCGGGACAGATCTGACCAAAGTGTCTTCTTTTATTTATTTTTTTATTCTGAGATTAAATTCAGAATTCTGAGGAAAAAATATCTGAATTCTTAGATGAAAATCTGAAATACTAATAATTTCTGAATTCTGAGAAAAAAGTCTCAGAATTCTCTTACCACAGACTTTTTTTCTCTCAGAATTCTGACTTTCTCTCAGAACTAAAAACAAAGACCCTTATCCTCTTCCGTAAGTTTCATAAGTAATCATAAGTCATAAGTTTCATAAGTAAGTTTCATAAGCGGGAAACAACATAAGCATCGTGAAATGGGATCTGAAGATGCGGACATGATGCAGCAATGTTCTGTATATTTACACGGATTATGGGAAACACTGTTCCCGATAATAAAAACATCCACTCCTACAGTGAAATATGGAGGGCACTGCCTCCGATACGGACACATACTGGTAGGAAAAAACTACCTTCTTCTTTTATTCACATTATGGAAGACACTGCTCCCGATAATATTGTCAGGACGAGAAGTGTACATGTACCGAGGGACCTGAAGAGACCAATCCAGTGTCAGTTTAAAGGAAAACACAATCCAGAGTTGTGCGTTACGATTGTTCGTACTTCAGTCCAGGTCGACATGTACACTTCTTTTTAAGCAGATGCTGCTCTTGATATTTCAACAGTATAACTGTCATAATTATGGAAGGCGCTGCTCCCGATAATTATACACATTATTTTTCATTTTTTATAAAAAGTTAATAAAAAATACTATTTATAGTGAACCCTGCCACTGATAAATAAATAACACAATAAATAGACGTACGGTTTGTTTCAGTGCCTTCAGACCCTCCCCTTGGTTTTTCAAAGGCCTATTCTTCATTTTTTATTATTGATTGTTGCGTGGACTTTTTTTGTAACGATGCCGCCAAACTTTCAAACAGCTTCCGTGTAGGGCTGGGCGATATTCTTTAAACGCAATATCATGAGGATATTGTAGGGTTGACCATAGTGCATATAAAAAAACAATGAGAATTTGGATAATTGGCATCAGTAATGTAAATTCAACAACTTCTAATAAGAAAAAAATAGAACTCCTAGAACAGTAATGGCACATTTAGAAAATAACATCAATGTATTGTACTGTGCCTTCAAAAGCAGGAAATGACGTCATTTTCGATATTCAAGGAATTTATATTAAATTGGTTTATTGCCCAGCCCTAATTTAGTGCAACAGAACTGCTGTTTGATTGTTATTTCATCATCTCTTCTATTTAGGCAACTCACACATTTCTGACTACGAATAGAGTCACAAGTTTCTGCGCAGAATGATATTTTAACTTCCGGTAAAAAACGTACCAGGTTTTTACACGGGGCTTCAGCAGCAGTAATATTACCAGCAGTTTGGATTTGTAATCATTATGCTCTTTATCTTATCATACAGGAATTTTGTGTTTTCTTCCTCTCCGAGCTGCTTTACACAGACTTACTGTGACTACATTTTAAGTGTCACCTATAGGACCATTTGAAGCTAATTGTTGCTAGCACCAGAGTATTTAGAATACTTCATTTCATTTAAACGAAAAAACATCCTTTTTGCCAAGGATTACTTTACTTTTTTTTTTGTGTATTCTTTAAATAAAAGTAAGGCTTTTTTTAAAAATAATTTCAGAAAGGGGGAACATGAGCTCATGTCTCAAAGTAGAATGAATTACTGAACAGCTCCAATTTAAATCTAAGCTTAAATGAATGTTAAAGCTGTTTTACACTGCCGTTTGTGAATAAGACGACCAAATGATGAACAAGGGAGGAAGTGGGGGGGGTTACTTTTTTTTAGATTTCGTTATCAAGAGACCACACGTCCCCTGCGAGTGAGTTGGCACAGCCCTGGATGGTCCAGGTGGCTAGGGCAAACTGGCTTCGGAACAGGTTGAAGTCGGCTTCGGGGTGGTCCATCCTGAGGGCCTCCAGGTGGCCGTACAGACCCTGCAGAGTGTGGGGGCCTGAGCCCAGCAGGATGTGGCGGAATGGACTCTCTCTGGGGGACACGTAGGGGGACAGGAAGTTCCTCTCCACCTACAGAAACAAGGCAGAAATAGAATGATGGAAAGGACATCATTTCCTATGTTTTCAATTTGATTGAGTATTGAAAAGTAAACATCAAAGAATTATCCAGTCAGGTTTTTTTCAGAAAAAAAAAAATATATATATATTGGATGAGTCTTCAAAAGTGTTTTATTACGTTGTTTTACTGCTGAAAAGCAGTTTACGCAATATGATAAATAGTTCCCTTTTTATGCCCCTTAAAAAAAAAACTTGGTTTAATTAAGGCAAAAACAAAATGAAAGTTTGTAAAGGCAAGCTTCGTTTTTTGGTTTAAAATTAAAATAATTAAAATGGTGCGATCACAATAAATTGATAGTGCCCTGGCAAAATAAACAACACCTCATAATCATTTTCCGGAACTCACTTTTACTAAAAGGGTTGTCACCAGAAACTTTTTAACCGCTTTTTCTTTAAAAAGGTCCCCTGTTGCGAAGATCCCTTTTGCTCAATTCTACTATAGGAGTCCCCCCTGATGTCCAGAACTAACTTTTTAGATACTCATCTAGCCTGGTTCTTACCGTCATGATGCGGTCATTAAGGGTGCGGCACATCTCAATGTCCTCCACGTTGCTGTTCTGGATGTCTGCTGCCAGCTTGCTGGAGGCCCGGCTGTAGGAGCCGTAGGCCGACATCAGCCACTGCATGGTCAGCACCTTGGACAGAAGCTGGGGCTGCATCTGGAACACAGAGAGAACACACAGGTATGTTACTTTATGAGACCTTTTAATGCTTTCCTGTAGTGTGCTATATATAGACCCTCCAGAAAAACGCGGGCAAAAATCCTTGATTATGCGATTAAACATGCAGGGTTTTTATGCGGTGAAATTGCGAAATATGCGGAAAGTTGCGAAAAATAGATTTTTTTTAAATATTGGGCTGTCTTATTTATTCTCTCTCACACACACAACCTGCCACTAACGTTAAACCCCTTTCCTATTCAATTAAACATTGGGCTATTTCACACACACACACGCACGCACGCACGCACGCAGGCATGCACGCACGCACGCCTCATTCTGTTTTCATTTACTCGTTCGTTATCTGACCAGCTTCAATCTTGTAGGCTACTCACTTCTTTTCTTGTAGCCCTCGAAAGGGTTTTGGAGGTTGATGCCTCGGTGAATGTGAGTTGTTTGGCTTTCTTGTCCGCAGCAGCAGAAAGCATTTTCGAATGTTTGAATGAATCAAAGAGGGTCGTCACCGTCGACTTTCTCTTATGCTCCAACACACAGTTGCACGGGCTGCAGAATAGTTTCCCCCCACTTTCGTGAAAGACATCGGGGTACTGCTTTGCCCGGTCTTTAGCAAAAATGTTCGTCGGTAAATGAGATGGATCAGATTTTTTCATCTTGGTGTTTTCTCTCTCGTGTGAGTTCCACACGTTCACTCTACGGCAGGCCTATTCAACTGGCGGCCCGCGGGCCAGATGCGGCCCAGAACCAACTCCCGAGTGGCCCAGCCTCCCGTAGCCAAATTCCTACACTAGTACAGACCTTGAACGCAACACTCCGCGTTTCATAGAAACCACCAAACCACAACGTAGCAAGTTTTTTGAAAGTGCATCTAGTGGTGCTAGTAACGGTGGTCCTTTCCGACGCTCCCCAAACACATCACATCTCCGGCACAAATCACGGATGTGATGACAGATTTCATGCGAGGTTGAAAGAGAACTTTGACCCGTCGATTGGATGGACTTGCTCTGCCCACAGAGGTGATGATGGGCTTTGCCAGAGACCCCTTCACTGTTGCAATAGAGGGCGACGTATCAACCAGAACAAAGGAAGTGGTCCCCTGCATCGACAAGGGGAAATATACACTGGAACTTATTGACATGCAGCGCACTAACGGGCCAGCGAAGTTTTGGAGTGATGTCAAAAAACAGCAGTTCCCTAACGTTCAGAAAGTAGCGATCTGTGTGCTCAGTATGTTTGGATCAACATACACATGTGAATCAAGCTTTTCACACACAAACTCAATCAAAAGTAGCACTCGCTGCTCCCTGACTGACAGCACTCTTCACCAATGTCTTAGGATTGCATTGACATCCTATGAGCCAAAAATCACTGCTCTTGTTCAAAACAAAAAATGTCCCTTCTCCCATTGAGAAAGTCAGCGATGACAAATCACAAATGAGGTGATAGTAAGCACCTAGTTTACTATAGTAGACGTGTAGTGTAGTATTCATTCATATAGTTACCCGTATCCCTTGTTATGGGTTTGTGCACTGAAGGGTTTGACAGTTCTTTCTGTATTCATTTAAATGCACTTTGTAATGTGTCTGGGTCAAATGTGACCAAAACATATGATTTTTTTGTTATTACTTGAAAAGTGAAAAAAAAAATTTCTACAGTACAACGTCTTTGTGTTGCATTGGAGCTCTTTAGCTGTTTTTTTTGTATGTGAGGACATTTATTAAGACTGCTATTATTGTATTCAGTAAATGCACTTTGGGATGTGCCTGGTTCAAAAAACATAACCTGAATATTTGACTTCTAAAGCAAACAAATGTAATGCTACAACTGTGCACTTTTTTTTCAGATTCTGTTAAATTAATGCTAATTTGTTGTGTTTTTATGCACTTTTTGACCTACCTTTGTTAGATGAACAATGAATAAAAATTGCATGTTTTTCATCGCAGTAATATGTGTTGGTTTAAAATGTGTCACTACCCGCTTTTTACAGGCCGCTGAATGTCTGGCCCAGCTGAATTTTGTAGTTATAAAATCTGTCCCAACTGAATGTTTAGTTGAATAGCCCTGCTCTACGGTGTTGTTTACCTTCTGTGATGCGCGAGCTGATGACGTCGCGTCATCATCACTACTTCACGTCAAGACGAGTTAACTTTTTTTTCTTCTCGACTTTGTGTGGAGAAATGTGGGGATTATGCGGCCTTTTGATAAATATGCGGCCTTTTAAAAATCTGCGCCATTTTGCTGATTATGCGGTAAATTCTGCGATCGCAGAATCGCGTTTTTCTGGAGGGTCTATATATAGGTTTTGGTGCATGTAAATGGTCTGCAAAGGCTAAAATCCTAAAGTTACCTCCAGAAGGAGTTTCTCTCCCCCACAGTTCTACTTTTAATTAAGTACAGAATCTAAGTACTTATTCCGCCTTGCCTCTACACACTGCTCCTTTATTTGGATACTTTACAGAGATGGACAATCAATTGACAGTAAAAGAGAAAGAAGAGCAGAGTAAATTGTTGGGACGCAAACAAACAACTTACCCTCAGCACAGAATGAACCTTGTTGTTGATCTGAGCCACGCGATTGCGTATGATTTTGTTGTACTTCTCCACGTCCATGCGCAGCAGATGATCATGGACCAGCCTCAGCACCATGTGACCTGCGACCCGCGTGGCGGCTTCAGCCAGCTGAGACACCTTGTTGCTGGTGGCCCCGTCCAGTTTCTCCCGGGTGTCCAGCGTGGTGCCGAAGTACAGGTAGTCCTGAGAGGGGAACACAAGACGTGTTCAGAAATGGAGATGACACAATCTTTGATGCAATGGCCCGATGTGAAAGTAGAGAAGGTTTTAAATGTCCGTGTGGCTGCAGAAATTTTTTTTTTTTTGCATAACAGCAAACATCATGGTGACATTGAGGATTAAGAAACTGGATTATTGTTTTGTTGATTCTTCAAGTTTTTATTTACACTTTTAAAATATGCATTTATTAGGGTTAGGGTTAGGGTTATTGATTAAAGAGATTTCCAGCTAAAGAATAATAGTTAAGAACTTTTTGCTAAGGGTTAAATATAAAAGTACTCTTTAGTAGTCATAAATATTGAACACTAAAAAAGAAAACATTTAATTAAAGTTTGTAAAAGCAGTTTTTTTAGTTTGAAATTCTAATACTTTACTACACTGTTTACTGTTTTTTGTATTTTCTTTGGTTGTGTAATTATGATTGAAAACATTTATAAAGATGGATCACTGTATTGATAAAACTGATGATGAAGGTGCACAATGTAATATAAATACTATGCAACTCTAAATAAATACAATTCTTATACTCTGTAACTGAGGTTGATCGCAATCGATTGACAGTTGCCTGGCAAGATAAACAGCAACCTCTCACAAATGTATAACCATTTTCATTCAAATGATGCGAAATTCGGATTGGTTAAAATAAGTATTAACACAGAAATGTGAAATACTAAAAAGCTGTTCCAACTTCGTCTTACTCTAAGGAAAGGTTTTCCTACATAAACAGGACATGTTATGACATGGCCTTTAAAATAAATCAGGATGTTCTGGGCTACGGCGAAATTGGCAAAACAAGATCAATTAAAAAACGTATGTTACAAGGGGATGACTTACAGAGTTCTCAGAGGTGAATCTGAAAGATACTGACGGGATGCCAGAAAAGGCGAGGAAAGGATATGCAGCGTTATCCAACTTCAGAGGCTCCAACCTGGGAAATAAAAAAGATGCGTTAGCTTGAGCTGTGCTGGGTGAGGATTTGTAAAATAAAGATGATTGGGACGTGAACACGTGATTCTAGTGTGGACGAGGAGGTGATGGATAAACACTGCAGAGACCGGTCAGACTTACACATTTGATTCCATGTTGTCCTTTGCAAATTCAGAAAAGAGAGACACAGCTTTGTTCGGGTAGTTCACCTGAGGAGGAGATAATGTTTATGCAGGTTAAGCCTTAACATTCACACAAATATGGAAAGCATTAGGACTACAAAACACGGAGCTTAATTATCCCCGACAACGTGTGTTCTGATATTCTCATAATCAGAGGAAAACAGCAGCAGCCAAGCCTTCTCTAAATATAAGAGACTTTTAATATAGAACAATCTTGAACTCAGAAAAAATGTATTTAAATGTTTTTGTTTCATGATCAGGATGTAATGCAGGGTGTAGACACTTTTGCCGACGCACATATTTTTGAGTTTTTCAGTTTGACGTGTATTATTTATTTGTTGGTTGGTTGGTTGTATTTATTAACGTCATAAATTACAATGTTTAGTTTTAATTTAGTCTTTTTTTATCTTTTTGTTACCAAATTCGGGGCACTCTGACACGCGTGCTCCACATTCGCTTTTCACATGTAAAATTGAAATTATGTTTCAAAGGCTGATTATTATAGTTATATATTATATTTTATATGTAGAATAACGTACTTTACTAATAACGTGCTTTCTTAGCCCTGGAACTGAAAAAATGATAAATAATACTAATAATCATAACATAAACGTGCTACAACTAGTCAACTTATCGCCTCAATTGACGACTAATGGTCGACTGTAAAAATCTTTAGGTGAGGTCAGCCTATAAATAATTCAACTACTGACAATCGTGCTGGCTTGTATGTAACGCTTTACAGGGTGTGGATTTACCTCCTTCAGAGTGCTCTCGACCAGGCCGTGCAGCAAGGGACTGGCTGCCACTTTGAAATATTTCTGACCTGAAAAAGACAATAAAAAAATTCAGGCATTCGGAAAATCATATATTGCAGGTAACTGGAAGCTGTTAATTATTTAAAAGCCGACATAACTGAAGTCAATACCTGTTACAACTCCGTCCAGGTTGATGTAAGAGAAGGCTTTCATGCTCAGAGAGGAAAGATAACCCTGGATATACAAACAAAATGAAGGAAGAACAATCAGGTTTACTTGTGCATAAAAGCTGCTGATCAAGAAAGTACATTGTGCAATTCTCACCTCCAGCCACTCGGTGGCGCCAACACTCCCATATTCTCCAGCGCTCCAGCTGGCAAACACAATGCTTCTCCTCGGCTTGAATCCACCTGCCAGAGAGATAACAAATACACATTAACAGAACGATAAGCGAGAACCTAGTCAATGATTTCAGGCAGAAAGGATCTGACGTGAAGTGTAGATCTATCCAATCATTATTAGAAAAGTGAAAATATGGCATTATTTCACATAAAAAAATAAACATCAGCTTAAGATTTTAATGTCTTGGACATACGGGAGGAATTACAGGTCCAAAATCATCCGTTTTTAATAAGCTAAAAAAAAAAGGAATTGATGTGCTAGCTTTATAAGGACAGTATGACCTCATCAAAGGTATGTACATATAAATGACTGAGTTATCAATGAAACTATAGGTTACTTACATAACCCCAGTTCTCAGAGTAACATGAAACTGGCGTAACAGCAATGCGCAGATAGTGTATATGCGCCAGGGACAGCCACAGTAAAAATAGACCAGTCTTCTATATATATTTTTTAATGGCAAGAGTCCCCCTCAACAAGAACGTATGGTGGCCGACAGGTGCAAACGCATTATAATGGCCCAAAACACTAAGATAGGCGGAACGCGTTGCCGCAGAGTTTAATAAAAGTGATGCATAGACGAAACGCTGCAAACAAAAAAGGCTGCAAATCAAAAACAAAGAAAGGAGCGCAAAATAAAACTGAAACCAGGGGACACAGCCGTTTGAGTTTCTCAGCGTTTTGTTTGTGTAGCACTGTTACTAAACGATGTGCATGTTTTGTTTGTTTTTTTATAACTGAATCCTTTCTGAAGCTGCAGCGCGTTTCTCCTAACAGTGATTTGGGCCGTTGTAGCGCGTTTGCACTAGTCGGCCCTCGCAGGTATCCGCTGGTGATTACTAAACAACTTCATCCCTAACAGAGCCCACTGTAGTCTTCCCCTTTTAACACAACTGGGTCCAAAAGCTGTGTAAACAATCTCACACAATCATGAAATGAAAGTTCCCCGTCTTGTTTTCCATGTGACTTACACAACCCTTTACTAAAAAAAAATCTGTGGCACATACAACTGTAACGTCTTTAAAAGTAGCCAAAAGTGGAGATTGTGCCCGGAGGGATTGATATTTACCGGACATTGACATGAACTAAAATGAATAACCAGGTATCGCTGAATCAGCTGAGTCTTACCATTCTCCACCATATCTGAGATGGAGCGTGCCAGCTCGACAAGGACGCTGGTACCGACAGTTGACGCGGCAAAACCTGGACCCCATGCGTCCCTCTGTGCACCAATGACCACATATCGATCTATGAGAAAAAGACAGAGCCGCGATCATCACTGTTATTCAATACACGGAATTCTGAAATCACAGTACCCGTTGTTGTTGTTGTTGTTGTTGTTGTTAGATAAAAGTCTTGTTGTACCTGCATCCACAAAGCCTTTGATGACCCCGAAGACATTTACTATCTTTTTCTCACTGAGCACGTTGTCGACCCCCAAGGTAATAGCATCGCTGTCATCCCCAAGTTTGTTCGGGCTTTTCCATTCTTCCGGTGCATTGGCCCCCCCCAGCTGCCTGCAGGGTGAAGAAAATGTATATTAACGTGAGCTGCTACAGAGTCAACTGTAGTGCATTGTTTCAGGGGGGCCACAGAGTATTGAGGCATACTGCAGAATCTTCATGGCCATGTCTAGGGTGATGGTCTGGGCCAGGATTTTTGGCAGGCCTGAGGAGATGACTGGTGGGAACTGGGTGTGGTTGAAGGAAGGGAAGCCGGGGGTGTAGGGATCCCCTGAACCAAGGTGGACCTGTGGGATGAAAAGACAGGAGTTTGATTGATAAGATTGCTCAAAGATATGGTTTATAATGTGTTCTCGTCTTCACAGCAGCCTGAACCCAAGCCTAAAGCTTCAACATTTGAAACTAAGAAAACTATATGACAAAAAGGTAATTTACACATTAACTTCTAAACTCCAAAAATCTGACTTATGATGAAGTATTAGTTTTAAGACTTAATCTTTTGGGCTAGACATACAATTGCAGGCTCTACTTAATTGAGTTGTCATGCTGAATATAAATAATGTTTTGTTCACCATTTTGTTTATTATTTTGGTTGGGTTTTTTGTGTTATATTTAAATCATACATTACCATCGTCTGAATATTTCCGATAATTCAAATTCTTCTTTTTTCTTGCATAAATTATTATCATTAATTATTCGTGCATAAAACTGGCCTACAATCACAATATCATTTATCCAATTATTTCCAGGACAAAATATTGACCAAGAAAAATTGTTAAAAGTCTAGTCAATCACAAGATACAATCCAAAAGGGAACGCCTCATCAAAAAATTGCTATATGGTACAAATGGGTCTCATCTTCCAACAAAATGTTTCTGAACTGTCCACACTCACATGTCCATAGAGCTGAGTGGATCCACCAATAGAGAATTTAGAGGGATCTGGGTAGATCAGCACAGCAGAAGCACCCATTTTGGCAGCATTGGCTACCTGAAAGAAGAAGACAAAAAGAGGATTTGGAAAGGATAAGTCCACAACAAAATAATTTGTAAAAAAATCCACACGCAAAGTAATATTAAGTCATCCTGAATTTCTTACTCAAACCACCCACCTTCTCCGCAAAGCTGATCCGACCGGTTCTGACCAGCATGACCCTGCCTGTCATGTTGACGTTACGGCTTTTCAGCAACCTCAAGTCCTTCTCCTCCCCGTAAAACACATCCAAGAGGGCACCCTTGAACAAAGATTAATAAATGCATTTAATGTAAAGTTCTGAGTTAAAAAAAAAAAATATACATCTGTAATACCTTCCATGACTCATGCAGAATAAATTCATGAAATGCATTCTATAATGCTTAGCACATAAGTTATATACATTATAAGCTCTTATTCATAATGCTTTAAAATCATAACACATCACTCAAAAAGCTGGTCACTCCCTTACCGTCTTTGACAGGGTCATATTGTTTTATTATCTCCTATAATTGTAATACATTATAATCTATTGTGCCATTTAAATTACTAGCACTCATTATTTTGCAGATTTTATGATTATTTTCACCCCGAAATGTAAAGTTTGAAATGTATTACAACTATGGGAATTGAAATACATATGATCCACGCAACAACACAAGTGTCAGTGAGTGAAAAGCGATTATAAAGTATTATGATAGAAGTCATTATATAATGAATCCCAACTCGTTATACATATACAGATTTATGAGTGCTTAATATAAAACTATAAAAGTGGAATTAACAGATTATAACACATTATAACTATGTTTATAATGCAATATAGACACGGGTGTCGTAGAAATGGATTCACTACAGATGTTCTCCTATAGTTTACCGTTATTGTTCCGTTGGCACTGTAGGACAGGAATCCCGTTGGACTCTCCTGCTTCCCCTTGTAACTAAAGCTGTTGGAGCCAGACGCTGGGGCGTCCTGAACCTTAACAAAGTGCTCGTCGGTCCAGGTTTTCATCCCGTACTCTCTGAACCTCTTGACCACCTTCTCTCCCAGGACCTCATCACTCAGAGAACCGGCCCGGTGGTTGTCACTGGAAAACTCCCTAGGACAGGAGGGAATAAAACACGAGGGGAAAAGACAGACAAGAAAACAGGAAAAGGCTCACTTTTAAAGAGATACTCTTAATCCAGACTCTTAAAAAGGCAACTTTGGGGTTTATATTTACCTAAAGACAGAATCGAATTTGGCTGCAGAGACTTGTTCAGCAAGCAGCTTTTTGACCTTGTCCCAGTTCATGAGGGGGGCAGCACCCGTCTCGATGGCAGCACCGTTGTCAAAACGGACCGTGAAGTCAGCACAGGTGGGAGCCAAGTCCTTCTTCCGATGAACCAAGTAGCCAATCAAGTAGCCTGTAAATAGCAGCAGCTTTAAATGAGGAACAGCCAGGTGCACCGAGAGGAACTGAAAGCAGTGACGGAAATAAGGACTGACCAGTAGCATTGTATGTACGTCCAAAACTGCACAGTCAGAATTTCTTAAAAGTACTGTAATGTATAGTTCTTACTGCAGGAGAAACTTCACCCGTCTAATGAAGTCAATTAATCAAGTATTTTATGCAAAAGGTTGACTTGATATAAATGCCTGTAGGTGACACCAGTTGTCATGCCTATTGGCTTAGAGCGGGTCCTAGAAACATCAGTTTACCTATCTGAGACAACGGCCTATAACTGATGTGTGATTTCCCTGTTTCCTTATAACACTATAGAAAGAAAAAGATTGAAATAAAAGAAATTAGTGGCTCCATGATAGATTCTAGAGCAGTGTTTCTCAAACGTTTTCATACCAAGGACCACTTAACCAATAAAAAAACACTCGCGGACCACCTAACTCCACAAACATCCAAAGACACATCATTTTTATAGAACAGATTACAAATCGCCTGGAAATGGTACAAACAAGTGCCATTCCTTGTTAAGAAACTTAAGCTCGCTCCATTGCAGAGATATCCCTGCGAGAGTGCAGAAAACTTCAATGTATTTATTTCAATGCTGTCAAAATTATCGCGTTAACGGAGGTAATTAATTTTTTTAATTCATTGCGTTACAATATTTAACGCATTTAATGCATGTGCAGAATAGCCCGCACCATACATCCCACCAGTGGCAACGCTGGGGTAGGCTACAGCCATACCAAGAAATGGCTTAGCCCCACCATAAAAAATGATGTTAAAGTAAGCAAAATAAAGTCTGCCAACTCGCACCGGTTAAATTGCACACAGTTAGTAAGATTGATTTCAGTAGCCACTTGTCTGGAAATACCGAAGACTAGAAACAGTTTTGAAAACTTTTGTCACGTAGTGATCGTCTTCTCAATAGAACATCTTTGATAATGTCTACTAACCAATCAGAATCAAGATAACGGCGTGGTGTTGTTGCAGGAAGTCCCGACGGAGAATACTTTTGCTGTAGCACATCTCTATATACATCGATACAACATTACGTGTAATGAATTAAGACCCCACGGTTTGATGATTGATAGGTGTGTGGGCTGTCTTTCATTTTGACACACAGAACAATGTTATAATAAACATACGTTAAATGGATATATCCGCCTTCTTTCATTTATCTTTCCATTCCCACAACAATATACATAAAGAAATGGCATATTTTGGACATAGTTCGAATGGTGATTAATCATGATTAATTCATTTCTAAGCTGTGATTAATCTGATTAAAAATGTTAATCGTTTGACAGCCCTAATATATATATTTCAAATGTGAAATTTTACCAATATACTCACGGACCACTAGGGGTCGCTCACGGACCACCAGTGGTCCGCAGACCACACTTTGAGAAGCACTGTTCTAGAGGAACTCCGAAGGTGTTTTAGAGTCATCCAAACTTCTTATAAGGTGCAGAATCTTCAATCAGCGGCCTCTTACCGATGATAAAGATGAGGAGGGTGGCGACGGCCATGAAGCAAAGGTTCTTTGGTGTGCGCCCGAGCTTTTGAGCCACGTAGGGTTTGCGGTTGGAGTTGTGATTCAGGTGTTCTCCCGCGCCATTGCCCCCTGTCTCCTCATCCATGTCTGACGACAGCTTCATCTCCACCTGGCTGTTATCCCCTTCCATGTTCCGGGTTAGGTTGAAACGTGTGTAGGAGTGAGGCTCCCCATTAAACTGTGATAAGAGAAAGATAGGAGAAAATAGAGTTTATTGTTTGGTTCGGGTTTAATCTTTTTTATTAAGAAAAGGAAGCAGGACATTAGCAGGAACAAAATCTTCCTCTTTAAATGCTCCGACATCAGTATTTGGTATTACTTTCTAAATGTGAGTCAATAAAAAATGTAAATGCTTTATAATGCCTAGATAATAAGTAACAGACCAACTTTTATCTTGCCAGGTTGTGAGAAATCTCTTTTTCCAAAATGAGTTGATTTGTTCTTTAAGCTTGCATTCGTCAGAAAGACCTCTCCAATGAATCATTCGACTACTTAGCTTCTGGAAAAAAAGTCCCCGGAACTTCTGGCCTATAAACTGCACCAATTTAAGTTTATTTGTATTTTTAAGTCAAATAAGTAGCAAAACACCCACATTATGCATCAGTTTTGTTTAACTTTCATTATCACTCACTCTTTCTACGTTTCCTTCTCCTTTCTCTGTCATGTGTTCAAAGTAGCAAACTTAGCATAGCATTCACTGTGCGCTGATGTGATCTGAACATTTTACATTTGGCAAACTGACTTTGGTTTCTTAAAAATCATGGTTAGGCATTCAGGAAGACACTCTAGAAAGAACACAATCTCCTAATGTGACTATAAGAATCATTTATTATTTTTTTATCAATAATATGCACAGATATAGAATGTCAAACAAGCATATTACAGAATTACCTTCAAGCCTTTGTCTCTGGAGAGCTACAATAGAACGATGGTAGATGACTGATAATGAGAAGTACAGTACGAAGAGCTGCCTTGAGAGAGACTGCCCGAGGACAATGGAGAACACTCCCTCAATCTATCTTTCTGTCTTGTCTTCTGTCCAAAAGTCTGACGTATCAAAAAAAATGTAATTTGTGTTCATTTTCAGTTTCCTTTATCTTTCTATGATAGATCATGTTGTTGTTTACTCGTTTCCCAGTTTTCTTGATGCACATACTTTACTTATAAAGGTTGGTTGTTTCTATATTTAATAGCAAAAACTATACATTACAACTTTGAATGCCTTTGTATATTATGCCTTACTCGTAAGTGGTACAGTTTTACTCGAGCTTCATTTAAATAATATGCAACAATAACTACACTCTTCAGGATACCCTTTCATTCCCATTATACAATACAGCATTTATAATGACACTCATTTCACATGGTAACAAGGAAATTAAGCATGAATTATTATGTTGTAATACTCACAATTTTAGATATTGTTGACCTTGCCTGGTCCATGGTTGCGTCAATCTAAAAGAGGAAAACAAACAAGGATATAATTAGTGAAGCGTCAGGCCTAAAGATAGGTTATTTGTCATTTTTCTTTGTGGTTGAGGCTTTAAGAAAAGATGAAACTCAATCTTAAAGGGTCCCTATTATGCTCTTTGGGGTTTTCCCCTTCCCTGTAGCGAGTTATATATGTTTGTGTGCATGTAAATGGTCTGCAAATGGTCAGTTTCTCTCTCACACACTCCCCCTGCCTGAAATGTCTCATTGGACTCCTTTGTTTACTTCTGTAACCTAGTGACATCACTATGTAACACTTGCGCTTCTGTTGGCTAGCGCTCCAACACATTGTACGTAATAGGCTAAAGGGCGGGAAATCTCTAAGCAGTTGACAATCACAACAGAGCCTGCTAGCTAACCAATCAGAGCAGGTTTCAGACAGAGGGTGAACAAAGGGGGTGCAGCACAGGCAGGATAAGAAAAAAACAACTCACTTTGTGAAGCACAAAATACAAATATGAAAATTAGCATATGTCCCATTAAACATGAATCCCCTATAGACTTGATGGCTTTTAATAAAATAAGCTTTTCAGGAGAACCATTTTCAGGTTTTCAAGGGATGAGTGTGTTTACTGAAATAATAGATGTGTTGTATAATATAACTCAATTGTTCAGGTTTAATTTCACTACAGTGTGTACAGTGTTACCGTTTCACTTCTGGGAATAATGAGGTGTCCAAAGAACAAGTCCCACCTCAAAGAACACGTCCCACCTCTTGTCCAAACATCCACAGGGTTTCCTTTTCTGCTAACTTGAAAGGCAGCACTGTTCCTACACAAAAGACCAGTGTCCAGCACGGGTCAGCACAGGCACCATGCCTCCATGTGAACTCCTTTGCCAGGAAAATACAATAACAAAATAACTAGCTTCAATTCCAAAGAGGAGCTAAACAAAGCAGGGTTTCAATTGTTCGGAAGAAACAAGACCTGAAATGCAAGTCTTCTGTACATATTTTCCTTCATATAGTATAGCCATATCAGTGAAATAAGAACTATGCGTGTGTCGGTCCTCAGGGGAAAGGCTGGTTATGAGAGGAGCTTCAGCTACAGAGGGCCAGAAATCCTGTAACTCCTTTGTTTGATAAAAAACGACTTCACTCACATTTTTGCACAGTTAGGAAATAACCTATAATATAAAATTATATGTAACCCTACATATAATCATACAACCATCAGTAGAATCATCACATCAAACCAAAATGCACATTTAATGTAAGAGAAACTATGTGACCGTATAGAATTTCTGTCCTCTCAGCGAAAATTGATTCGCTGATATTTGACGCAGCAAAGTCATTTCGTGACATTCTACTGCTGTTTTGCCAAAGCAGGCCAAGGGTTTTTCTTTAGTAACAATTGTGAGAATTTTCTGAATACAACCGACTACAGAGCCGGAATCACTATATAAGCCAATTCCAAAGGTCACCAAATACAATGCAACTATTGATTAAGCTTTAAAAAAGGTGGCATGGGTTTGTAATGTAAGAAACACAAAAATAGCTGTGGATTAGACCAGGGGTTCCCCCAAATAACTCCACAAATATCCAAAAACAATAGGCCTGCTCACCACTCCAACAGTACATAACAGCCTAATAATGACAGCTTAACCTTCTCTATATCGCCTCGTTCACACAATGAATCAACAATACAAATACAGATTATATAAACATTTAGTTCAAATGCGATTTAAAATGCGCACAGGTTTTACACCTTTTATGAAATGTAGACTACATTTATTACGAGTTTATGTCCGAGCCAACAGACTCACAGATCGTTGGCTACTGAGAGAAATGCAAAATACACCGCATGTAGTACGACACAAACCTCCGCTGTGGATTGTCAAAACAAAAAATACTGTAAAACTATGGTCGCAGGCCCAAGTTTAACTCTCTGAGGTCTAAGCCATTGTTTCACATGTTAGGCCGCCTGGGCTTTTTTGTAAAAATGCTATTAAAACATGAACCTTGGTGACCATCGGGCTGGCCTGCATGGTCTGCCTAAAAAAATAAAATAAAAAAACTTTATGCAGCCCCAACAACAGCCTCTGATCATCAACAGACTTCCTGGAAGGCTTCATTGGATGCATATATTAGCTATATAATCTCTATCTAACTCCTAACTGATTGCACTCGGTGAACCGGCCGTTCTGTGATTCTCCAGGTCCGCCCTGTATTCCACCGGGTCACCGCGGCGCCGCCGTGCAGACGGAACCGCTGGAATACAGGGTCTACCGCATTTAGGAACCGTTAGGTAGAACCGAAATTGTGTATTTTGTATGGGTACCCGGTACCCGGCATTTTCTTATCGGTTCTCATCTGGAACCGAGTTTCGGTTCCCAACCCTACTCCTAACCCATCTAAATCTACTTCCAGCATGGATAAATGTTCATAAAATACCAGAGGTGTGGACTCAGTCACACGACTTGGACTCGAGTCACCAATTTGATTACTTTGGACTCGACTGGACAAAATCACAAAACACTTGCGACTCGACTTGGACTTGAACACCAATGACTCGGGACTAGTGATGGGTCGTTCGCGAACGATTCGTTGTTTTTGAACGAATCTTTGAAGTGAACGAGATGAACTGATTCCTCCCGCAAAACGATTCGTTTGTTTGAATCGCCGCCTTCCGCCAAAAGCTAAAGAGAAGCAGTTTGCGAACTACGAACTTAAAGAACTGGCGGAAACAGTTCAGAACTGTTTCCTACAGTTATTTTTATCTTATCCCTTTCTTTCAAGAGGAGGGTCCCGTTAGGGCCCCTCCAAAATACTGGATGTTCCATCTACGCGGCGGACGGAGGGCCGGGATGACAGTTGATACCAACGACACTTCCGACTTATACCACTTCCGGTCTAACCCAGGTTTTGGACGAATAATGAATTTGTTGGAGAGCGTTGTACAGAAGTGGCCGGAGTAGTGAAGTGTGGTGGTGTGGGGTTGAGTATGTAGGTACAATTCCTTATAGAGGCGTGACTCGCGCTCGAGAGTTCAATGCTGAAAGCTGGGGGGAACGGTACTAATGCGGTGCGCGTCTGTAGAAGCAGTGTTCACAACGGTGAACAAACTTGGTGAAAATCCCCTAAACATTAGGGACAAGATCTTTTTGCTACAAATAAAGGTCTCCACCCTGGTTCATAACAAACGTTCAGGCTCATTCAAGCTCATCACTACCCGTCAAAACTTCAGGAAGCCCTGTGTTAAGAAAACTAAGTACAAGGAATTTCTAACAAGTGCACTAAGCAGAAGTGGGGCGCCAAAGCGCTTGCTGAAGACCAGTAAACGCTGCAAGTCGCTGCTAAGCAGAAACATGAATTAAGCAAGTCAACTCAGAGAAAGTGATGACGCGAGACTTACAGGCATGTGTCTCAAACGACCGCCATTTTACATACTATAATTTTGCAGTAACTAATGTGGAGTGGGCGCCCAAGCAGAACAACGGGGTACTTAGATAGAACCCTTATCGGAGTGTGTATGAATCTACAATTCTTTATATGAACCGGTGAACAATTCAGACGATTTACACACGGACTGTATGTTACATAATGTCGTCCGATCGTGCATATGAAAGTTTGGGTAACGTGTATAATACACCGGATTGAAATTAGGGTTTCCGTAGAATTGAGGTAAACCAGGCTCACAGTTCATTCAGTTTGTTTTATATAGGAGATGTAGCCACTCTGACAATAAGTATACGATTCATGAGGGTAGATACAACAAATGGAAATCGATCCGCCATGATTCGATCACCCATACGATGCCTCGGGTCTGATAGGCGGGAGACTTCGAAAATCCCCGGCTGCCCCCTCCTCTTACAGGGGCGATTGCGACACACACACACAAGTGTCAACTCCCTGCGGATTACCCGGTCCCACAGGCGAGACTTCGAAAATCCCGGCTGTCCCCCTCCTCTTATGTTGCGACATAACATAAATGAAATCGATGCGTCGATTCGATCGCACACAGACGCACACACGCACGACACACACACACACATTAGTAGGAGAACAGTTTGACGTAGCAAAACACGGCATAAATACTCTCTACATTTTACTAAAAGACGGTTGTCCTCAAACTGTCTCTTATTGACTTTTTCATGTGTCATTTTATTGAGTATCATCGAGATGAAACTCATCTTCAGGTTGATACTAACTCTACGGTTGTTATTCTCATGACAGTAACAATAAACACCATTAAACAAGGATTGACGCTCCA